ATGTGAAAAAAAGATTGATGGGATTGGGGTGGGAGGTGGTACGTGTGATATTTGGGGGTGCATCCACAAAGAAGGAAACACCTGATGGTGGTTTGATGTCTGCCACATAATTCATGTTCGACCATCCTTCATGCATTTTTACACCAAAGGATTAAGTCACAGGTTTGTTGACAAAATGCAAAATAACATTAGAGCTGAGGCTGTACAAGATGAAAGGCACAGATAATCCAGACTATACACCTTCATTAGAGTCTGACATGAGCTTAAAGTGATAGTTCAGATCTTTTGGAGGGAGGCTCTGTAGAACAGTTATCAACAATTTTGATAGGTGTTGTGGAAAGCTTTTTTGAATGATCTCAGTTTGGACTGGACTGAAGCTCTGCTAACAGCTGGTCTGAGCGGGGCCTAACCTTAAGTGGCCTACTGCTGGCGTCAACCATCTCCAATCTCTAAACTGCTATAAACTACCTTCACACTGTAAAACAGATTTTTTGCATATTTGTTTTTTAATGACAGTCTGAACGTGACAAATCTGATTTATTTATTTTTAATTGTTATTATTGTTCTTTTATTTAACCAGGTAAACACCACTGAGATCACAGATCTCTTTTGCAAGTCAGGTCTGGACCTGAAGGAAACCTAACATGCATGTTTGTGGAGTGTGGGAGGAAATCCATGCAAACACAAGGAGAACATGCAAACTCCATACAGAAAGACCCCAGGTCCAAACCAGGGATTGAACCCAGGACATTTTAAAATCTGACCCAGGTCTTTTTCATATGTGGTACTAAACCATGCATATGCATATTTGATGTTTTACAAAGCAACCACAGTCTGAATGGCCATGCTACATTTCATCCCATTTTTACATGAAGTAGGGGTATGCAGACTGATCCAAATATTGATATTAACAACATTCATGGATTCAAGGTTCTTTGTTTGTCATACATCTGGTACATGTGGTGGAACAAAATTGTGTACACAGGGTCTCAGTTACATCCAATAATAAAATGTAAAAGAAAAACAGTAAGATGTGAACTAAGAAAAACATTAACTAGAAATAAGCTAAACACTAGTAGCATAAAAACAATATGCCGAACAGCAGCAGCACATCATGCAGTTTAAAGCTTGGAACTATGTATCTCTTCAACCACAGTTGTTTCTTTGAGAACCTACATGAAATAAGATTTTTTTTTTTAACCTTTTTCCATTCCAGAAGTGCAATGTGGCACTGAAGTAGGCTTCATTAGGCAAGATCAAATGTAAACAAAAGACCAAATATCCTGATGCATGCTCAATAATCCAGGAGGATAAATCTAACAAGGTTGAGTCAGACCTCTTAACAATGAAGAATCTGTCCAGAGGGCCTGACTCAACCTTGTTAGAATGGACCAAATAATGGATGGATGGATGGATGGATGGATGGATGGATGGATGGATGGATGGATGGATGGATG